CTCCGTCTTATCTAGGGCCACCCGTAAGCCCAGCGCCTCAATGCGCCCGACCACCAGGGAGACTCCCCCTGTGGCCAGGCGCGCCGCCTCTTGGAAGTTTGCCCCCCGGGCTGTCACGAGGGTATCGTCTGCGTAACAGATTACACAGTCGTACCCTATGTTCCACAAGAGGGGTCCAAGAACAGACCCCTGTGGAACGCCGCACGACATGGGCCGACACCTCAGATTACCTTCTCGGTCCTCGTACACGACGGTACGCTCCTCTAAATAGTCTGCCACCAGCCGCCTCAGGTACTTCGGCACCCCATGATAGTGGAGTGCTTCCCTGATGCAGCTGAATGGCAGACTATTGAATGCGTTGGCGATGTCCAGTGACACCGCCAACAGCACGCCGCCACAGCTCACGGCCTCTTCGGTCACGGCCCTCAGGCGCAACACGGCGTCGACCGTCGAACGCCCCGCCCGAAAACCAAATTGGGCGTCCGACAGATCGGGGCCCACCTCGCAGAGGTGCCGGACGATGCGGGCAGAAAGAACCCTCTCAAACAATTTGCCCGCCTCGTCCAGCAGCACGATGGGCCTATAGGCCGCGACCGAATCGGCAGGCCGTCCCGGCTTCCTCAATAGGACCAGCTTCCCGCTCTTCCAGCACTCAGGGAAGCGTCCCGACGCCAAGCTAGCGTCGAACACCTCCCCGAGGCGGTCTGCCATGTGGTTGAGGGCCAGGGCCAGCACTCGGGCCGGTACCCCGTCTGGCCCAGGGGCGGTGTTCTTGGAACGGATCCGTAGAACAGCCGCCCCTACCTCCGATTCCCGGACGGGCGGAACATTATCCTCCCCGTGCTCCCCGTCGTCTCCGGCCAAGGAAGCCATCGACCCTCCAGCATCTCCTGTCTTTTTTCTTCTTTGGCGCGGCTAATGGCCAGCTTCAGAGTTTTCCGCGCCCGTCGGTACTCCTCATGAAGCCGGTCCTCCTCACCGTCTCTACGGTGACGCCGCCGACTGCGCGTGTAGGACCTCCGGGCACGTGTACAGGCCGCACGGAGGTCCGCCAGCTCCTGGGACCACCAGTAGACCTCCTTCCTTGGAGGCCGACGACCTCGAACGCGGGGCATGGCCGCATCGCATACATGCGTAATCGCATCGCGAAAGCGGCCAGCCCCCACGTCGACCTCCTCGGTCGGAGCCTGAGGAGACAGCCACGAGTGAATTATGGCTGCCTCCTCTAGTAGGTCCCGGTTCAGCCTGGCAACAGCCCACCGCGGAAAGCGGGATAAACGCCGCGCCACGTGACCCCTACTGAGGTCCTGGGTCCGGGAGAGCTCAAATCGGATATACAGGTGATCCGAGAGCGTCTCAACCTCTTCCAGGACACGCCAGTTCCTTACTCGTGCGGCGAGGGCAGGGGTAGCGAACGAGAGGTCCACTATCGACCCCCCCTGCTGTCGCACGCACGTGTTGGTGGAGCCTCTGTTTAGAAGACAGAGGCCCACCGAGGCCGCCCACTCCTCTACGGCCACGCCCCTGGCGTCCGTCCTGGGGGAACCCCACGCAATGGACTTTGCGTTGAAGTCCCCCAGCACAAGGACGTGCCCAGACGCTAGTCGCCGTATCGAGGTCTCCAAGCTGGTCAGGAAAACCTCGAAGTCGTTCAAACTCCGGTTGGGGGAGAAATAGACACCATATATGGTGATCCCCCCCCACTCGACGGCAACATATCCAGTGCCCTTGTCTCTTAGCGACAAGGGCGGGGAATGAGCCGTCGTGGAACCGACGACTGCCACGGAGCCGTCCCAGTCACCCATCCAGTTTGGACGGGGAGGGACAGAATAGGGCTCCGCGACTACGGCAACACCTATCGACCACTGTGCCATGGTTTGCAGGAAGAGATCCTGCGCCGCGGCACAGTGGTTCAGGTTCGTCTGGACCAGGAGGTTGGAGACTTGATCCATTACTGGATCGTCTCTACAACCTCCTCCATGGGCGACGACGTCGACGCACGAACTATATCGGAGGCAGCCTGGGTCGACTGGCTAACCCCCGACGTCTGCCGAGAACTGCGGGGAGGCTTGCAGCCTCTCTGCCCCATCTGATGATTGGCGGGCTTATTGCTCGCCGCACACACTGGGCAGTGAGGGGCGGCAGAGCATTCTGCCGCCTTATGCCCCGGTTGACCGCAGCGGAAACACAGTCCGCCGCAGTCAAAACAACTGTCGCACTTGACGCGCGTGTGTCCCGTGGCCAGGCATTTAAAACACCTCATCGGTCTCGCCGCCAGGACTGTGATCCTGGCGCTCACGAAACCGATGAGCAGCCTGCCGGCGTCGGCCAATACTTTGGCCGACGCTACGGGACAGCTGACCCACACGGCGCCAAGCCCTCCTGGACCGGGGCGGATGGTGCCGGCCCTGACGTTGTCCGCGCTGCACCCCGTCTTCTCCCGGATTACAGCGCGGACATCTTCGGCCGTCACTGAGTCATCCAGGCCCGAGATGCGCAGTTCCGCGCACTTGGTAGGCCTGGCGACCCTGACACCATCAGTGGCCGCAAATATTCCCCGCAGCCTCTCGGCGAAGGAGTCCGCCGTCTTTGCGCCTTCAGCCCCAGGGAACTCGAGGACTCGAGCTCCCGTCTGGGCGAGGCGCATCCTGACCCCCACCGTTCCAAAGTCGCTGGCGAGGCTGTCCCGGGCCTTTTTAAACACGGCCGCGTAGGACAGCCCGCCGTCCGCCGCCTCCGGGGACACGGTCACCACTACAGCCGCGGTTTTGGGCGGCTGCAGCTTCCGCGGCCTCTTTGTGGAGGCCGTTGCCACCGGTGGCGAAGGCTGGGCCTGGGCTGCTTTTTTGGCAGCCTTTTTGGCCCGCCTTCGGGACTTCTTGGAGCCCCTCGCCTCCTGCCAACCCTCGTTGGAGGGGGCAGGTGCGGAGGGGCCAGGCAGGGGTGTCGGAGTGGGGAGCGGAGGGAATGCCACTCCGCTCCTCGGCGCTGCTTTAGGCCCCGTCTTGGCCGGCGCCTGGAGATGTGCCTTGGCCGGCGCCTTAGCCGATGCCTTGGCCGGCGCCTGGGCCGGTGCCTTGGCCCCCCTCCTCGGCTTTTGTGGAGCCGATGGAGTAGGGGCAGACGCCGCCGCCGCGTAAGAAACGCGGCCTCCCACAACGGGGAGCGCGGTCGGAGCGGCGGCCTTAGGCCAGCCAGGCGTCCGTCCAGCATATTCCCAACTGCGATGAGGATTTCTCGCAGTTGGGAGTCAAATGCCCCTGAGTTGGTGGTAGGGGCAGGCTGGGACGCGGACGGGGCTTCCCGCTCGGGGAGGTTCGCCTGGAAGCGGGCGAACTGAGCGCTCAGCTCGTTCACCCGCTCCGTCAGCTTCTCGTTGGCCACCTGCAGGCGAGAGACGTCGCCCGCTAGGCCCTCCACGACCTCCGACAAAGCGGAGGAGGAGTCCTTAAGGGCCCTCACAAACGAGCCCTTAAGGTTCACGGATTTGGTGGCCACCTTGTCGATGACGGCCACCGCCGCTTTCGCCCTCTCCTGCACGGACACGGGAGCCTGGGGGGCATTTCCCCCCACCGGCTCCCGAACCTTGAGCAGGAGATCCGCGATCTCCTCCTCCGCTACGGCCTCGCCGTCCACCCGTACGCTCCTGTAGGACTCCGCGTTTGAGAACGCGGAGCCTGACGGGGTCGAGACCGGGGCCGTTTTGCGTGCCCTCCCTCGGCGGCTGCTTGCCACCTTTGGTGGCATCATTTCGCCGGACGTGTCGGTTTCCACGTCCCCTGAGCGTCCGCGTTTTCGGCTGTCGCTTCGCTCCGCCTCCATGGCCTCCGCGCCATCCGACGAAGCGGCGGATCCGGAACGCAGCCGATCTGACGCTCTTCGGCTCCCAGAGACCAGCGTCAGACTGACTTCTGGGAGCCCCATCGAGATAGGCGTTCCCGACACCATCTCACCCTCAGTGGACGACCCATCCGCTCCACTATTCCTCTTCACCTTTGCACCCTTCGTTTCAGAGTCCGTTTTGCTTGCCTGTTTTCGTTGTATATTTGTTTCCGTTCGTTTTTTGTTTTGGTTAGACTTTATGTGTTCCATGATAAATCCCACGAGTGGGGGAGAACTAAAGGTCCACCCGGGCAGAGATCCCCCATTACCCGGGCAAGCGTAAGTTTTTAACCCAACCGAGGGGTCCGCAGGTACGTACCTCGGCTTGGAGTGCGCTCGCGACTGAACTTCCCATCAGCCATGCATCCCCTGGCCACGCACCAGAACACGGGATTCGGGGAATTTTTTAGAGAGGTTATCTTCCTCGCGGTCCGGGCGGTTAAGCCAAGACCCTCGCCCCCGATCAGAGCCGCGAGACTTAACCACAGCGCTCTTCTCGGGATTACGATATGCCGACGGTTGACAGGGAGACTACGTCCCCCTGCCTGCTCGGTGGTAGTGTGAGTACACGCCGAGCCCGTCCTCCTTTCTCCACCGCTGTCAGCGGAGAAACTGTGGCCCCTACAGGGCCCCGCCATCAGGTTTTTTACCGAGGTTTCCTCCTCCATGCTCCGAAGAGCGAAGAGCCAGCAGGGCAACCGGCAGACACGCCCACCCTGCTGGACCAGGCCTTGCCCGAGAGCCGATGAACGGCTACCTCTTCTGCTAGAATATTGGCCGCTGGCGATAATCCTCTCCTCCAAGAGGACAAGGAGGAAACAGTACCATCGCCAGCGTTTCCAGGGTGCACCACGGGGAGGTTTTCTAGCCAGCACCCCAAACAAACCCTATACCAACCCGTCTGGCCAGGGTGGTATAGTAGGCCATAACCTTTTTTGTAAGGAGAGACTTATGTCCAGCAGTGGACTATTAGAGGCTGTTGATGTGATGTGTGATGTGAATATGTCGGTTATCACATTAAAAAGTAGTCTATACTACTCGCTGATAATGTACCTTTCCATTGCTGAAAGAATTTTTAAAATCGGTTTAGTGGTTGTTATTATTATTATATTACTTACTTGAAAAGTAACAGGCAGATCATCAACGGTAACTGGTCCTTCGGTGTCCGCCATCTTGAATTATGACATCACTTTATACTTCAATGAGATGTCCACTGCTTCTTCTTCTCATATCTTTAACTGAGGAGGAGAAAACGAAAGATTAATACTCGCCTATAGTTTAATTGGCAGTAGTAATATGACTTAAAAATTAAGGGAAGGGCCTTTCATTCGAGTTTATATTATATTCGCCATCTAGTTTCAAACTAAGCAGAGCTTGTACTATGAAAGCTATATTGTCTAATAGAATACTGTGGAGGAATGGGTGTCATGTCCCTCCAACACAATGGCAGGATCCTTCAACCAGGCGAGGTGATCATGCCTGGAGGGCCGCGGCCCAACGGTTGATGTTGGGCAGTTGTATATTTGCTAATCGGCGAGAGAATTCGTCATATCGCGATACAGGATTAGCAATTCTCATTCGGTAGTTACTCCGTAGTTCGGTGTGTCTTCGTAAGATGGCGCTGTAGTATGTTTCTGTTTTCTTGTATGTGGGAGTCGCCACAATACTAATGTATTTTTTTTTGTAAATATTAAATATGGAAAACATCCAAACTCCGAAACTAATATTTGCAGATCAGTTAAACACTACATATCACATAACATACCCGTGTGGTTACGGATTAAGGATACAGATTGTCACCACCCCTACTCATCCCGTGGCTGTCGTAACTGACTGAGAGAGCAAACTACGCAAGACAACAGCGCTTCAAAGGAAGGAAAACCTGCTGTTCACTGCTGGCCATAGGCCTCTTCTTAGAAAGGAGGTTTTGTCCTACTGTACCACCCTATCCAGACTGGTATAGGGCTTATTTCAAGTTTTCCTTCTCTTTGCAGTCTTGTTGTCCTACGTAGTTTGCTCCCTCAAAATATCTTCATTTCATAAAAACCGTTGTTTTTTTTTTTTGGAACCGTCCTGAACTTTAAGTTATTGTGTGCAATATTTTCGCACCGATACGACCTTCAAGAAAAGAGCGTATTCCTTCCTTAAAGGCCGGCAACGCGTTTGTGACTCCTGAGTTTACCCTGGCCCCGCTAGACATAGAGACCACTCCTTAAAAAGGAAGTTTTGGCCTACTATACCACGCTGCCCAGACGGGTTGGTATAGGGTTTGTATCAGTTCTCCTGCTCTTCGCAGTACTCTTATCCTGCGTAGTTTGCTCTCTTACGACACTCTCGGGATGAATAGGGGTGGTGACACTCCGTATTCATAATCCGTCACCACACGGAGCACACACGGTATAATAAAGTCTAAGATTTCTTTCTATTCAAGTGAGAAGTATGACTAAAAATTTATAAATATCACCCATTTTTCTTTGTCACTGATAAGAGACACTGATAACAATTGCCTTGAGAGGGATTTTATGTTTATATTAGTGTGGTACAACGCCTGAGTGTTAATTAAAGTATCTCATGGCTCGTCAATATACTACATATTGAGTGGTTTTTAAGCCTTTTATGTATTCCAGGCCAGCGTGGTATAGTAGGCCAAAACCTCCTTTCTAAAGAGAAGCCTATGTCCAGCAGTGGACTATTAAAGGCTTTTGATAATGATGATGACCACTATATAACGGATCTCAGATCGGATTGAAATTCATTTGCAGCCATACTGTGTGGGGCATGGCTCTCCACTATATTAGATAGCATAGTCTTTAAGTTCTCACAGAAACCCTCAATCATCATTTATGTATTCCCTACGTTTCAGTTCGACTTGCTAAAAAAGCGTGTTTTTTTTTGGTTTTTTAAAGTATAATTTATTATTATCTAAACATATAAAAACATGTCCTGATTGGCTGACTGATTCATCAACGCAGAGCCTAAATCGCGAGGGCTACAAACTTGATATTCTGGCAGCTGATGATGTTTACATTCTACGCACCTTTTTTTTTTTTTTCCGTGCTGAAATCCCCTCGGATACCACCTGTCGGTGGCATGTCGGACTCGAACCGACTAAAACCGCACGCCTTCGCCGGGTACTAATAGCCGGGGAACCAGGTATACCCTAGAAAGGAAGTCCCTGGTGCCCCGACATACCTCGGGTCATCTATAGACGAGTAGACGACCCCCCCCCCCCGTGTGGGAACCCCATGTTCCCTGTGCTCCCTGGAAGCGAGCGCGCTTCGCAACACGCTCGCCGTCACCCCGGCCTGCTTCTGCTAGGGTGACAGATGGCCTCACCTGTCACCCCCAGGCCTGCGCTTATGGAGGACGGAGGTCGTTCTGCGACATTCTACGCACCTACTAAGAAAAGATTTTTGGAAGTTTCGCCCTTAAGGGGTAAAATAAGAGATGAACTGTTTTATAAAAGGTAGTATTACTGGTAGCTGACTGACCTCTGTGCTCCGATACCGGTGGACACTATTTAATTTATCAATACAAATAAATAAAATTTAAGTGTCTGTTTGTTATGTCAAGGTGTTTTTCGTGCTCACACGGTTATTTGCACGATACCTATGCCAAAAAAACAGTTTTTTTTTTGTCTATCTGTCTTTCTGTCTGTCTGTTTGCTCGAATAATCTTTTATTCGGCTGGACCGATTTTGAAAATATTTTACTAACAGGTATTTGTCTTTATAAGGAGTAACTTAGGCTATTTTTCCTCTCGGAAAAACCTTTGTCCGGTCCGGGAATCGAACCCACTAAGGCAGCACTTTTCAAATGCCACGCGAACGAAGTACCAGCTAGTATTAAAATTTAAAAATGTTATTCATATAATTATATAAGTAAAAGATATTAATTATTAATTTAATTTTTACAATCGATACTTATAGTTATTTTAAATTTAAAAGTGAGTTTGTTTATTACGCTGTCACGCCTTAATCACTAAACCGATTTAAAAAATTCTTTCACAAATAGAAAACTACATAATCAGCGAGTAACATAGGCGATTTACAGCAATAACTAACATACACGTGGGTGGAACCAACGGGCAAAAGTTAGTTTAAAATATTTTGACATACAAAACAAACTAAACCTGTGATATGAATGTCATAGCCAGGTCATATCACCCTATTAAACTATTATCTGTATGGGGGAAGATACCAATGATCCGTCCCAACTTAGTTTATTTATTTATTTACTAGCTGACCCGCGCAACTCCGTCTGCGTCAATAGTAATAAATAAATTTTCTCCGTTTTTTGAAACATTCTTCATTGGTGCTCCGCTCCTATTGCTCTTAGCGTGATGATATATAGCCTATAGCCTTCCTCGATAAATGGGCTATCTAACACTGAAAGAATTTTTCAAATCGGACCAGTAGTTCCTGAGATTAGCGCGTTCAAACAAACAAACAAACTCTTCAGCTTTATAATATTAGTATAGATTATAGACACGCCACGACAAAATGCAGTTCAATATAAGGATAGTTCTTATATGTAGACCAATTACAGGCATGCACAGTATACATCGTTAGGTTGACACACATTCAAGTAGTAACAAAATTAAGACCAAAGTGAACGAGACTAACAGAAATATAGTACTTAGGAACTAAACACAGATAAGTCCAAACAATGAAAGTGGCAGTCATGCAAACGATTTCAGTATCATATCCTTAAAGTGTTTAAGGGAATTGTGGAAAATATCCAGTTGGTCAATTTTACCATTCAGCATATTGTAATCGCGAGATGCACGCACCAAAGGAGAGTTTAGTCCTAAGTTAGTTCTTGATAGTTGTAGGTAGAAAGTTCTAGTCAAGGGATGGCTTTTCTTTGGATGGCTTTAAGTTCTTTTGTCCCCTCTGCAAATAAAGTAATCTAAGTAGTCTATACATGTGCCTCAAATCTGCAAGCAGTAATCGAACTTGTATGCACCTGTTACGGTATTATCGAGGGGGTTCGAAGTTAGGGGAACATATGTGTTATCCGTTACGAAATAGTGACAGGTGCGTAAACAGAAAATATATCAATAAGATAGCTGCCATACTTGATACACGAGGATATTAACGAAACATCTCAATTGAGTTATAAATATACTAGAAATTCCTCGTAGTTTTACCTGCATTTTGAGTTATAGCTTCACGAGAAACAGAATTGTCTATAAAATTAGTTATTCTGAAATTGACGTAGACAAATCCAAAAACCTAAACATCGTAAAAGTAGGAAAAGGGTGGGGAAGGGGTTCATCAAAAGGGTAATGGCCTGTCATCAGAGCCGTGCCGGATATTTGATTCCATACTTAATCGGAACATATCTTCTTTACAATCCAATAAAAATATCACAACTCTTATACAAAATACGTGTTTTTATTTTATAATGCACTCTTACGGAGATACCCTTTAGTTTGGGATCCAACCAGCCGTGTGTGAGATGTGTCAGATTATTATTAAAAACGCGTGTAAAAAAAGGATCTTCCATCCATACTAAAATTATAAATTCTAAAATGTGTCTGTCTGCTACCTCTTGACGCTTAAATCGCTAAACCGATTTAGATGAAATTTGGTATAGCGATAGTCCGAGTCTCGGGAAAGGACATAGGGTAGATTTTATCCCAGAAATCATCCTTTAAGGGGGTGAAAAGAAGAGGGGTGGAATTTTATATAGGGAATCAATAACCGCTAAATTGATTTAGATGCAATTTGGTATGGGGATACTTTGATTCTTGAGGAAAGGCATATGCTACTTTTTACTGCGATAACCCACAAGACAACCAAATGCTAAACCAAATACGTCAAAATGGTAAGTTGGTTTGTGTACGCTTCATTCATACAATTCACTAGCTGACCCACGCAAATTCGTCTGCGTCTCTCAATAGTAATAAATTTTCTCCGTTTTTGAAACATTCTTCATTGGTGCTTTGCTACTATTGGTCTTAGCGTGATGATATATAGCCTATAGCCTTCCTCGATAAATGGGCCATCTAACACTGAAAGAATTTTTCAAATCGGACCAGTAGTTCCTGAGATTAGCGCGTTCAAACAAACAAACAAACAAACTCTTCAGCTTTATAATATTAGTATAGATGTTTTTTTTTATGCCATCATCATCATCATCAGCCTACTGCAGTCCACTGCTGGACA